CCAGCATCTGTGACCGGCATCCTCAGAGAACAGGAGGCGGTCTCTCCGTGCTCCGGGTGGGGTGACCCCTTTGTGGGGAATTTTAGAGATCCTGGGGGGGGGGGTCTGTCCTCCTGCTCTCTGAAGATGCCGGTCACAGATGCTGGCGAAATGTTAGGAAACAAAACTTCCAGGACATGGCCACACAGCTCGGAAGACCCACAACAGCCATGGCTTTAATTAGTTGAAAATAAGCCACCTGTACTTAAGGCTGTCTTTTCTGAAGACTTATATGGGATTAAGCTGTTGCTTTGTTACACCTTGAACAAACATTAGAGCCACACAAAAGGCAACGATGGGCCTTTTGGGCCATGATTACATTTGCTTCCTCCTGTGTGGTGGGAGGGAAAAGATTGTGGTCCTACCAGAAGGTGCCATGCAGGCTGAATTCTGAGAGTTGCCTCAGCACATTTGGAGGGCACCTGGTTGGAGAAGGCAAAGCCCAGCAATGCTGTTGTGTCAGATCTTGCCAAGATTAAACTGATGTTTTCAAGAGTGTTTCTAGTCTGCCTTTGGGTGTTAGCATGAAGCTCTGAGTTAATTTAAATATTTACACATAAATATAATTAGGATTTGAGGTTTACAGGTAAGATTAGTGTATGCACAAAGATGGAAAGATTTGGCACTACCCACAATGGAGGAATAGTTAGTGAGATGATGAAACTTGCTGAGATGGCTAAACTGACTTCTTTGATCAGAGAAAAGACAATATCTACATTTATTGCTGACTGGAAACCCCTTATGGACTTTTTGCATGAAATAGAAAAAAATGAACTTATGATTTATGGTTTTGATGATTAGACAGAACAGACTATAGAAAGAGTCACGTAACCACAGAGCGAGAGGCAAATGTATAACTGCTGTAAAGATTGGAAGATACTTCTTTATCTTTTTTCTTTGTTTCTCTATTACTTTTTCCCCCTTTCTGGTACCTTTAGTTTTCTCTTTGATTTCTTCTCTTGTTATGAGTTTGTATTTTTAAAATCTTAATAAAATTATATATAAAAAGGATTTCAGGTTTATACTCTAATCCTAATTACTTTCCACTATCAGGATCATCAAAAACCAGGTGCACTAAATTGATTTACATTTTCTGACAGCAGCCACCTTCCCAGCTGGGGAAGATCCCAGCTTTTCCAAATCTGACATTCTGAGAATTAAGAGCCAGTTAGTGATTATGGTTAACAGATATAATTATGTATTTAAAAAAGAAAAACAATAGCCTCCTCTTCACATTACAGCTTGTAAAACTGAGTTCTGTAAGCTGAGTATACCAGTGTTTCTCCACCTTGGGAACTTTAAGATGTGGACTTCAACT